TTATCCAGTGGTTTTCTCCATAGGAAGTAAACTACTGAGCATAACTTAATTGAATATCATAATGTTAAAATTATGTAATATTTAATTTTTTAATATTTTCAATGGACCTTTTTGCTTAGATTAAGTTTTTTTTGCTGCGCCTTAGAGTAGAAAATTACATATAAATTACATACAGATTTTGATGATACAAATTAACGTTTTTGTCCATAAACTATCAAAGGTTGTGTTAAATTTATAACATGATTGCTACGTGTATAAGTGACTATGTCCAATTAGAACAGGTCTTTCTATAAGTATAAAACTACACTAATTATGACTAACTATAACTACAACTATAACTATAGGTACTAGCAGGTAAACCTATCCTGAAAAGTGCCTAAGGTAAATTCCATATTCAATCATAACTTGAGTGTTTTTACACATAGAGAAAAAGACAAGTTCTCTAAATTTTATTAGAGTTCTGGGTGCATAACTCAGAATCTGTAGGTAGCTTGCTAAGAGATCAGGCATAGCTTCTTATAGCACCTCAGCTTCATCTGGCAAATGTTATGGCATTACAGAGGTGCCACTCAAGCACTTGTATTATTTCTATAATCACTACTGTCCTCCCTTTCCCTTTCCCCATCCTTTCCTTTGTCCTTGCACTCTTGGCTCCCCGTCCCCAATCCTCTTCCTTTCTCTGCACTTCCCTTAGCTTTTCTGCTACAGCAAGAAACTCGTGTAAAAGGTGGAGAACACGTTTTCACAGTTCTTGTTGATCCATTAAATTTTTCTTCCTCTTCTAGCTTTTTAACTCTCCTTGCAGGTCTGATGAACTCCATTTCATAGTATTTTCATGGTTCCTCTGGGTTCAGGAAATAGACATAGTTCCTCACTATTATTGCTCCCCAGAACAAGAACTGACCTGGCTCCTGGCTTTCTCCACCAAACAGGGAGATTATTACAACTGATGATTTGGTGGGGTTAATATAAGCTGCCATAGTCAATCACAAATCTTTTCTGTTTCTGATCCAGGGATGGAAGGCTCCAGGATGTATGTGCAGGGTATCATATTCAATTTAAAGTGCGGAAGGGAAGGCCTAGTGAGAAGCTGACTCAGTGAGATGAGGAAAAAATTAATATCACGGGGAAAGAAGAGCTGGGATGGGGAAGGTTGAAAAAAAGGTGGAAATGAGAACTTTATTACTCTGGAATGCTGTGGCACCATTCAGATCTGTTCTCAGATGTTCTGCTGAAGAACTGAGAAAAGTACTAAGATTGAAGGATAAAGGGGAAGATGATAGTAACTATTTATTAAACAATTAAAAATAATCTGAAATTATCTAGCATGATATACATATCTAGCTATTTAAGCATTTCCTATTATCTTTGTTTTATAATCCAGTTCAGAATGAATATGTCCAGTTGCTGTTGTAATGTTTGATAAGAAAAATGTCCACATTAGAATGATGAAAGCAAAAACATTACAGCTCAGCCTACGGTAATAAGGAGAATAGTATATGATTATTTTAACATAGACACAATCCTTATATCCCCCTTGTTGCGAGTGCTTTGCAATTCTTACATGGCCTGTTTTTCCAATAACAGATAAATCATTTGTGTAACAGGCAAGGAACTGAATACAAGTGTCTTCCCTCAGGCAATTTATCAGCTCTTTGGTCATCTGAATGGAAAAGTTTCCATTTTCTCAGAAAGGAGCAGAAGATTAAATAATATGCATTCCTGCCCAGTTACAGAGGAGGGATTGTTGTAATGAATCATTCAGGGAAAAAACTAGAGGCATTGACCGAATTGGCATCCACATTGTCTTCTCACTTCCATGTTCAAGCATACATTTTGGTTTTTGGAATCAATAATGCCATAGAAATATTTGCCTTGTTCAGATAACCAGCCTGAGGCTTTCTCTAAGAGTTGGGAGATCTCTGATAGCATTCTTCCCCAGCCAAGATGGGAGAAAATGTTCCTATGACATAATTTGTTCTGGCCATCTGTGATTAGGACAACTGCTGTCAAAAGTTAAGAGAACCCAAGGCTTATGCAGTCTTGTCAGCTTTGTGAAATAGAAGTTAAAACTCTAGTGGTTCTCATGAGGAGATTGTAGATGGTATATCTGAATATCTAGTCTAGTTTGTTTCACCCAGGTAATTATAGGAAGACAGTTTCAAGGAAGACAACATAGCAGGATGATACAATGACTTTCCCTTGTGAAATATTGCGTGGGTTGGATAACGCAGCCCAGTGATGCTGTGGCAGATAAATAGCCATGTGTTATAAATAAATATTTTGTTTTCATTCACTTTGTACTCATGGCCTTCCTTTAAAAAAGGGGGAGGAACTGAATGAAAAACAATATAAATTTACAAATGTGTGTATTTTTATTTTAAAGAATAAAATAAAATATGTTTTATTCTGTATCTTTTATTTTGTATCTTTCAAATTAAAAAAGGAAATTGGATTGCACCAATAGTGATCCTATATTGTTTTAAATATGCTTTCATAATTCATTATATTCATCCAGCTGTGTAGCGCTGAACTCATTTCTGATGTTATACTTCATTTCTGATGTTATACTTTATGGTAATAACATTGCAACAGATTGAAAAACACCATTACCAAAACTAATTTGCTTTATTTTGGAAACTCATATAGGTCGATTGTTTTTCCAGTTTGTATCAGTTCTGTACTTGCCCAGAATGCTACATTAAATCACATTGCATATGTGATGATGTTTTCAAGATTGGTAGATATCAAATCCGTATAGTCACAATTTGACTTTTTCCCCAGTAACAATCTGGATATCTATATCTATATGTGTACCAAAATAACAAATAGTTTTAAAATGTGCAGAAATTAATACATTTGTGCTTCCGCAAGAAAGAATGCAAAACAAAAGCTGTTGGAATGCAATTTATTTGTTATCTTTCACTGTAGAGATTTCAGTGTTGTCTTGGCTGTGTTGAAAAAAAAATGGTTTATCGTCTGTGATACTTGTTCAGTTTTTTAGCACTGTTTTTCCTAGCTCAAGTGATCTTCAATTAAACCAAAAGTTTCAATTATAGGAAGTGGCAAAGTGACATTATAATATGTAAGTGTGCATATAGCAGACAACACGTCCCATTTTTATCACCAGCTTTGCTCAGGTTTCTGCACCACGTCATATATTAATCTGAAACGTCCATTAGTTCTTATGAGGAGTCAGCAGATAATGGGAAGAACTGAACGTAAATCCAAACCATTGAGAGATAAATGAGACATAAATGTTTTTTTTAAAGGGATAGTGACTAACAAGAGTAAAAGAATGGAATATTTACTGATGGCCTCAGCACAACTCTCTCCAGATTGATGCCAACACTTTTTAAAAAGATTTCTTCTCATCTTCATGAAGTATAATTAAATCATGCTGAGCTATAGAAATAATATATATGAGACAATATAGATGTTTCTAGGTATTTCCCCCCTGGAAAGTTGTATATACTACACTGGATATGTGATGGTTAGGCCAAAGGTGACTTGATATCTCTGGATACTTTTCAATCGATCAGCAATAATTTCTTTTGGACCTTTAATTGTCCAACTGAAATACAGGGTTGTTCAGCAACAACCTTGTTTAGCAACAATGATGAAAAACCTAACATAGCCCCCAATCCTCACATTTATGCCCTTCTCAGATCTGCAAAGCAAAAAAAAAAAAAAACTGAAGAAAAATTGTAAACCCTGTCAGGCTTTCACTTAGTGACTGCTTTGCTTAATGACTGAATCATTGGTGCCATTGTTGTTGCTAAATGAGGACTGCCTGTAAGTAAAACACTTCTCATTCCATTTTCCCCAATTAGGTTACTGGAAAGGAATCTTTGAAGGGAAACTCAGTATAGCTTTCTATGTGGAGAGCCTTAGAAGCTTGGCTGTAATACCATTTACAATTTTTCTGAAATATGCAGAGTGCTAATTCTTAGCATATGGCTGCTTGCCTGACTCACTATTTTGCATATAACTCTCTTTGACTAGAATAGAATAGAATAGAATAGAATAGAATAGAATAGAATAGAATAGAATAGAATAGAATAGAATAGAATTCTTTATTGGCCAAGTATGATTGGACACGCAAGGAATTTGTCTCCAGTGCATAGCTCATAGTGTACATATAGGCATCAAGTAATAGGACATAGGTCATAAATCATAGTTGCAATCATTAATCATAAGTTACAAACTACAATTGATAAATCATAAGAAACCAATAGGAGAAGATAATAGAAATGATGGAAAGATGAGAAATGAGACAATGCTATGGGAATTAAGGGTTCAGCAGAGCTAAGGGGGGGGGACTTTCTTTAAACAATGCTCTATAGCATGGATGTCGAACTCAATGCTCTATAGCATGGATGTCAAACTCGCGATGTCACGTGATGTCGTGCAACATATCAGGCCATTGCCATTGCCGGCAATGGGGTGGGCGCAGCTTCCAGATGACATGTCCGGCCCGTGGGCCGGCAGTTTGACACCCCTGCTCTATAGCAGCATCCTGAGGGGAAAAGTTGAAATAGTTTATGTCCAGGATATGAGGGGTCTATAGATATTTTCTCAGCCCTCTTTCTGGTTCATGCAGTATAAAGATCCTCAGTGTAAGGCAGGCTGGTTGCGATTGTTTTTTCTGCAGTCCTAACTATGCATTGAGGTCTGTACCTGTCCTGTTTGGTTGCCATGCCAAACCAGACTATTAACTGTGGTACAAATGACAGACTCAATAATTCCTCTGAGTTGATGCAGGAATAATGTTCTTTATTATGTCTTTTTAATGATGGTTCTAATGTTGTTAGATGTTCATTTCAAGACCTTGGAGATAATAGAACCTAGAAACTTGAAGGACTCTACTGAGAGAATAGGACATGTCCTCCTAAGTTTGAAATTTGCTTATCCCTGAAAAGTATCACAACTGCATGCATGACTTCCATTCAGAATAAGTACTGTTTTCTTTAAAATGCCTTGTGGGGTTTTATTTGCAGAAAACAAGTCTTTACAGCTCCACTGAAGGTAGCACAATTATTTTTGCATCTGTTGGAGACAAAGAATCTGATGCTGCAACAAAAGGCCCACCACAACCAAAACCTTGTTTTACTGATGGTATGTATCAAAGGGACCAACTTTATTGTGGTTATTGTGTGTATTTATTGTGAATTTACTTTGGGAAATTTGCAGATTATTGCCTTTTTCAACCCTTGCTTTCAACCAAGGGTTGCTTGTTAATCTGTATGTGATATCATCAGGAATTTTTATTTGAATCTGCAATTTGTTATTATCTTTGTATTGCTGTGTACTTTGATTTATCTTTGCTGGCTAGTAACTGAAAGGTTATGTGTCAGTCATTTATTATGGAATCCATTTCTTGGCCTCTGGAGAAAAAAATGCAAGGTTATGAAAGACTCAGACTGCAAGCCCACTTGTAATGTGGCAGACAGTAACCTTTGGAATTAGAAAATGAGAATTAGGTTGTAGAGGGTTTTTCACTTGCCAGAATACAAACAGTAAATTGCTGTTTAGACACTGCAAAGGAAGAAGTTTCCTGTTGATTCATTTTCTTTCTGTGATTAAGTAGAATGCAAAAAAGATTGTGGGGTATTTTAATCAGTGAAAAAAAGTAGAGAAAGTATAGGAAGTTGCCTTTGAAATATATTTAGTTACTGTTTGTTTAACCTGGGTAAGAAAGAAATAACCAACCTCTGAAGAGGTAGTAATAACAATGACAGTGTAAGTAGGGTGGCGTGTTTCTAGAAGTTAAAGCGCAATTGTGAAGTGTGGGGCTTAAATTGCTTAATGCAGTCTTAAGAAGCTGTAATAATGAATATAGCTGCTGCAGAATCAAGTCTTTTATTCATAACTGCAAAGCTTTTATCTTATATATCTTTCTTCCTTCCTTACATAGTAATGAACTTCTTGTAGCTTGTTTCTTAATTGTGGACATGGAGGGCACATGTACCATGATTTAATAACAGTCCTGTCCGGTCTTAGGCTTCTGGCCTTGCCAGCCTCTGTCTTCACACTATCATTTCTGAAAATACATGCCCTTTATCCCTCATAAGTTGCAATCAATAATGCAGTTAGAGTATTGGAAAAATGCAATACGCCTACAAATGGAAAAGTAAAACTGTTCCAGGCAACAAAGCAAACAACTAGACTTTTTATTTCACACACAAACACACACACACAAACACACACACAAAACACTGAACATTTGAAAAGATTGCTTATTTCCCTGTAGATTGTGTGTGAAATAAAAATTCCCCAGATCTTTAGGAGGAATGTCTTAGAAGAATCCTGAACCAACCTTTCTAGCTCTCTAAATTCAGTGCCATAGATGTTGATGATCTATTCATCGATAGTCTATCATGCATGCTGAATTTAGTACTAGTGATTTATAAAATTTAATTGGATATGTGAATCTGAGATAAGTGAGTCTAATGCTGATTTAAAGCTGAACAGCAGAAAATTACTTTTATCATGTTCTTCTTCCCTCAAAGACAACCCAAGTTATCAAGGGGATTGTATTGTTTCTTCCATCTTTTTATTCATACACTGAGTGTTGACAAGCTGTAGCCATGGCTTTAGAATATGTAAAATATGTAAGAAAAGACTCCAGAAATTAATGAGCAGAAATAGTGTAGTAACAAAGCAAAACCCATTGGTGTCTTTGGCTCCTACTTGTACCTAATAAAAATTTATTCCAAACCATTGGGGTTCAGACAAAACATCTGCAGACATGTTACTGTTGTCAAAATGATGAAACTAACCCTGTACTGTTGTGAACAGTTTTTCCCTTTTGTGTGTGTATGCAGCTATAGAAGGCACATACATAAAGGGCAGAGCTTTTGTCATCACAATAGGACTCTGTTTCAACATTTGACACATTTGGGACGCTTCTGGGTTAAGGACATTAGAACAGGGGGGAAGGTGGCCCAGGAACTTTCAGAGGAAGTGGAATCTGAAATAACATCTCCTTCCCTTCTGTTTGCTAAGACTTTTGCTAAATTGGCATTTTATCAATTAATAGAAATTCACACTTTCCATGTGCTAAACACAATTCTGGAAACAAATTGCAGAGGTTTCTGTAAAGAGTTTGTGTTATCATAGGTAATAAAAATGGGATGTCTTGTGTTATCATAGGTATTTTTTTATAACTGTTGTGTTTGTTTAATGCAAATATTCTATTTTCTAGGCTGTGTACAGAAATTCAGATGTTGTCAGATCAATATAGAGTCTGGGAAAGGCAAATGCTGGTGGAACCTTCGCAAAACTTGCTTTAAGATAGTGGAACACAATTGGTTTGAAACCTTCATTGTCTTCATGATTCTTCTAAGCAGTGGTGCTTTGGTAAGTTGAATGAATTCCATATCCAATTGGAAATGAAACAGTTGTAGGATAATCAAGTTATCTAGGACAGGGGTCCCCATCCCCCAGTCTGTGGACCGGTACCAGGCTGTGGCATGCCAGCAACTGGTCCACACAAATAAGCAAAGCCCCATCCATGGGATGCAGGCAGCACACAAAACCATGCACACTCTGGTCCATGGAAAAACCTTTCTCCACAGAACCAGTCCCTGGTGCCCAAAAGGTTGGGGACCTCTGATCTAGGATAACTGTTGCTTGTGTGACAACAGCATTCCATATCCTTTCACATATATGGGCTTCCAAGTTCTATTGCTTGTGAAATTAAGTAAATGAACTAATTGGAGGGGCAGCCTCAATATTTATACAAATGAAATTGAGTGTGCGAAGGGAGACGGTTATGGTGACATCCTGGTTAGGAGGAAAACTTGTTTGGTAGTATCAGTGGTCACTTCAGCGTCAAGCAGAACCTTTCATTTAACTTATGTAATATAGAGACATATGAAATCATATGATACCTATACAAGTTTCAGATGTTTTTATGGCTTTATTAATTCTCATTTATTTTTGCCTTGCTTCATTTTGTTAATAATAGCTGGCTGAGGTTGAAAAATTTCTCTAGGTCACCAAGGTCCTATTTCTTTGTCACAATGTTGTTGAATAGATTATAAAGGGTGTGGTAGAACCTGCCTCATTTCGAACAGATTCTTTGTGGAAACTCTTTAAGACACTAATATTTTAAACATATATAAATGCAAGGGATCAGGCTCTTAACTCTGTTCAATTCTGAAAATATAAAATGTTTGTTAAAGTCCTGTGCTGTGGTACATTGAACATAAAATGTCAATTATGATTAGTTTGACATCTATAGGGGTTTTGCAGTTTCATATATATATGAGAGGTAAGAATGCTATGTATGGGCTTAAAATCTTCACAACCACCAGATGGCAATGAAGAGTTTCAGAAAACTTGGGTTCTTTTTGCACTCCTGTCTCCCATCTCTTTCGATTTCTGCAGCATGTATATAATAGCCATTTATATAACGTGGTTTGTTAAGTGCATATGATAGGCTGATCCAGGTAGAGCTCATTAATGAGCTTTACCTGGAGTGCCAAACCAAGAGTCCTTAGGACAATAGCTCTACAGTAGGCAGGCAAAATATGCCTGCCCAGGCTGGTATAAATCATCACACACTGGGAAAGTAGAAGTTGCTCCGAATGAAGCTAGCAGAATTATTACCGGATGCCTTAAACCAGTGTTTCTCAACCTTGACAATTTTAAGGCATGTGGACTTCAACTCTCAGAATTCCACAGCCAGCATGGCTGGCTGTGGAATTCTGGGAGTTGAAGTCCACATGCCTTAAAATTGTCAAGGTTGAGAAACACTGCCTTAAACCTATCCCTCTAGATAAGATCTACAACTTAGCCAGCATTGCCCTGCCTGCTGTTTACAGAGAAGCAGCAGCATACAGAGAGAGGCTTAAATCATCCATAACTAGACAACACCCTCTTTATGGCCTACAAGCAGTTCATCAGAGATTAAGATCCAGGAAAAGCTTCCTTAGGTCGACAGAAGTCTTCAGAGAATTTGAAGGCAGAGTGGATCTAGGGAAAGCTACAAAGAATCAGCACTGGACGGAACCAACAGAGGAACTGGCACCTGGGTCTGATGAAAGCTGGCAAGCATAAAAATCATAGCATGGATACAAGAAGATCCAGAGGCACTCTACCAAATGGAGCTATCTGGTGGCTTCTGCCCTTTGTGACTGTGTGGTGACATGCAGACAACAACAACAACACACACACACACACACACACACACATATACATACCTGCTTTTTGTGTCCTGATCAGTGTACACTTGAGGACCTCACGGCAGCATGACAGACCACAATTAATATGACTAGTTTCTGGACAAAATCTGTTTAACTTGTACATATTTGTACGTGTTTTATATTATATCGCACAATATGCTTTATTTTGATCGTGATGCTTCTGACACTAATAAACATAGGCTGATCCATCCGCTTCAGTTTCTGTATCATAAATTCATCCACGTACAGATTTAAAATTAATTTCAAGCCCCCAAAGTTTTCTGATCCTTTGCAGATGTGCTCTGTGAGGCCGTCTTAATAATAATAATAATAATAATGATGATGTGATGATGTTGGAAGGGACCTTGGAGATCATCGAGTCCAACCTCCTTCATTGTTCTTATGTTAATGAAACCAGGTGATAATTTAAGGGCCAGTCAGATTCAAAACTATTTCTATTGCAGCATTTTCAACAATGTCTAGGGGCCCCCAGATGACACCCAGAAATAGACTGAAGGAGCATTCTCATAAAAAACAAAACCCATTCCTCACAGGGCAGGTGTGATGCTTGGGAAAGCACCTGTGGAGAAATCTGCAGCCATTCCTGCTGCCAAATAATTGGGCTTCTCTCTTGGGGGGGGAGGGCTTCACTAAGCAAGATACTTGTATATTTTGAGGTGAAAATAAGTAGTAGAAACACTTTCTTATTCCAGATGCCACCAGACAATTGCCATCTGGTTGGGATAGGAATCTGCTGGCCCGGATACAAGAAGAGGATTTATTCTGCATAAAAGTAGATTGGCTATTTAACCAATTAGCAGCACTTGCTCCAATTTCATTGGACTGTGCGTATGTATATGTGGGTGCAAGTGCACACTCACACACAACACATACCACCACCACGCTGCTATTCAGGAAAAGGTAGAAAAAGAACTCTTTTCTTAATACAAAGATGGAAGGAAAAAATAGAATAACTTTGAATCCCCCACCTTGGAGAAAAAGTTGTTTTTTTTTTCTTAAAAATTTATGGAGTGGCAAACTTATTTTTTTAGTAATGCACCTGTTTGGCCAACTTTATTAACCTGTAACCAGAGTGATTTTTTTTAAAAAAAAATAGAAATAGAAACAAGTGTGCAAAAGATATCTCTTTATCACTGATTGTTAAGATGGGTAGGGGAGAATGAGAGGAACGAGTTATTACATTAGATAAGATAAGATCAGATAAGATAAGATAACCTTTATTGTCATTTTTATACTGTGCACACAATGGCACACATCAAAAATGAAATTTAGTTGCCCGCTCTCAAAGTGAAACACATACATGACACACACACCTAAACATACTATGAACAACATATGTATAGACCAGCGGTTCTCAACCTGTGGGTCAGGGCCCCATTTGGGTTCGAATGACCATTTCACGGTCGCCAAACAATGCAGTCCGCCATTTTTTCCCCTTTTCCTTAGCTGTGCTACTCCCTTTTATTCTGTTGGCTTTTGAAAGCCAATAGAATAGACTTTCTTGAATAGAGTCTAATTCTATTGGCTTTCAAAAGCCAATAGGAATTGTCCAGGCTGTCTCTGCCCTGCTGAGCCTGCCAAAAGTCCCATTCTGCAAACGGTGCTGCAAGTTGTTTGCAGCGAAGGCGAGCTGTCTGGAAGTTTCCACTCCTCCCTGCTGAGCAACTACTAAAAATGTAAGTAAAAGAGGGCCAGGGATGGGAGATGGGAGGCCAGCAGGCGCAGGGAAGGTTGCTGGCGTGCGTGGGGCCTGGTAGGTGCCTTACTTCCCTTGGGCTGGGCCAGCTGGTGGCCCAGCCGGTGGTCGCCCTGCGTCGTCACTGCCACTTGCCAGCTACGCCTTGGCCAGCGCAGGGGGCAGCACCCCGCATGCGCGACGCTCCTGGACAGAGAAAGTCCTCGACTTACGAACAGTTGGGTGGTCCTTGACTTACGACTGGTTGGTAGTCCTCGACTTACGACCGGTTGAGTAGTCCTTGACTTAATGACCGGTTGGAGGTCGCGGCATTAAAAAGGTTGAGAACCACTGGTATAGACCCACATCCCTATATATATGTAGCAATAAATAGGAAAAAAACAGGTTGGATAGACAGATAGAGTAGGTAAATGGGAACAAAGATGGGAAGGCCCCAAAGCAACTGGGGCAAAAAGGTTTATCCTGATGACTTTAAACACAGGAAGTATTTTATAATGGGGCAAATAACTGTGGTGATTCATAAGCAGGGCCTATGAAATAGTAAACATTGTGTTATTTTAAAAAGCAGAAGAAATAATCCTGGTGGAATAACAAAATACAACTATCCAAAATATAATTGAGATACAAATTAATGCAAAACAAATCTGTGAAATATCGAATACAGTATGGGTTGAGGTATTTTCTTTTTTATTTTTCTTCCTTCCTCTTTTTTTTCCTCTTACATCTTTAATCCTTTGCCTTTATGACCTTACTTGTAGTAGTATTTTAATTCATAGGCTTTCGAAGACATATATATTGACCAGCGCAAAACTATCAAGACCATGCTGGAATACGCAGACAAGGTCTTCACCTACATCTTCATTTTAGAAATGCTTCTGAAGTGGGTGGCTTATGGCTTTCAAGCCTATTTCACCAATGCCTGGTGCTGGCTGGATTTCATGATTGTAGATGTAAGTCCTGATTTCATTTACTTACCTTAATACCTTAGTCTGAAGCTAACAATGCAGCATGCCATTGTGTTTGATATCAGAGCAATCACAATGGTCTCCATAATCTAAAATTTTAAAAAAATATTAATAGTTTTATTTTAAAAGAGCAATTCTTGAAAACTTGTGAGATTGTCATGTTTGGCGCAAGTGTTGTATTCTCACATAGTGTCTCCTAATATTTTCTGTGTTGGGGGGATGTTTTGAGTCAATGTTGACTCCTGGTGATTGCCTGAACAAGTCCCTGCAGTGGTTTTGGCAAGATTTTGGAAATGGTTTTTCTCTTGCCTCTTTCCCAAGGCTGAGAGAGAATGAGTAACCTTAAGATTGAGGATCATTGTTAATTTTATTATTACCGTATATTGATTTTTTTGTTTTGTTTTGTATATAAACATTTCATACTACCCGGCAACTGAAAATAATGCTGACTCTTTAGAGCAGAGAGGTAAAGATTTCTCTTTTCAGTCTTGTCTAGGGCACTGTGCTCATCTCCCGTTCTTGGCCAAGGGAGCCAGGTTGCCCAAAGACATTTTCTGTGGTCATGTGGCCAGCATGGCTATACTGTATGCCAATAGCTTCCCACTGAAGTGGTACCGATTAATCTACTCGCATTTGCATACTTTCGAACTGCTAAGTGGGCAGAAACTGGAGCTCACTCTATTGCACTGCATTCGGATCTCAAAATGCTTTCCAGTTGTCAAGCTCAGCGTCTTTAACTGCTGGGCCATCACACCTCCTTCTTTAGAGCATTAACTTATTACATTGACCAATGGAGAAAAAATCACACGCTGCTGAGCATAAATGCATATTGATATGGTAAAAGTTTTATTTTACGATGTGATAAGTTTATATTCCTTAAAAAAAAAAACAAGAGGAACAATGTGGGCACAATGAAAATAGAAGATTTTTAACAGCCTGAAACCTAATACACAAAAGCTTGGGCCTATTTTGCCTACCTCATGAGACAAATGCAAGAGCATCCAAACTTAGCAGGATTTTACATAACCCTTGAACTGCTCTTTGCCTTCCAAGCTCTACTGCTGTTTTCAGGTGCCATAGATAAAGTGGCTAATCATCAGTGGGGGAAAAAAAAATTCAGTTGCTGGCCTGGTCACCTTTGCTCAAGGCATGACAATGTCTTGGCTCAAATATAGTTGTGAAGTCGTGTCCAACCCATTGCGACCTCATGGACAACATTCCTACAGGCCTTCCTGTCCTCTACCATCTTCTGGAGTCCATTTAAGCTCATGCCTACTGCTTCAGTGACTCCATCCAGCCACCTCATTCTCTGTCATCCCCTTCCACACTTCATAACCATTCTCACAGATTTCTCGGGTTTAGGTTTCAAAGCAAGGAAGTTGCCATTTGCAAATATTCCATAATAATTGCAGAAGAATAAATTTTCTTTTTCTGACCTCTTTAATCTTTACGTTATATCCAGTTGATCATGGCCTTGTGCATGAAATTGAGAAATCTTATTTCCTATAGCCTATATTTTATTGCTAGAGTTTTGCCTATATTAAAAAAAAACGGCCTCTTTGCGCTCCCTGTTGAAATTGCAGATTTGAAGTATCTGTGACTACAGATGATATTTCGGTGATCTTATTTTGTGCCTCTTGATTTTGCATCAGGAGTCCCCTATAGGCTACCTACTCCTTCCATTTGTGCTCAGGACTCTTTCTCCTATATTTGATTCTTACTAATTTATATATTTGATTCTTATTAATTTAGATCTGAAACCTCAATTCTGTGACCAGCAATTTTAGATCTTCATTAGTAAAAGCCTGCCATTAGTGAGAGTAGAATAGGTGAGAAATTGTATCCTTTTTTCAGGCCTTAATCCCCTGGAAAGGACATGATATGATAAGAAATTACAATTAATGTGTAAAAACAGTCTAGTCTAGAACACTTAATGCAATAAATTTGCTTAAAAAGGCTACAGTTCTATTGGTATGCTGCCTTGAATTCCACCAGTGTAAAAAGCAGAATCTAAATGTAGATTACTTTGATATGGTAACCCATCTGGTAATTTATTTATTTTTTTTAAGTTATGTTTTCAAACAGAATACCATAACTTTTCTTCAGCAACTCTTCAGTGACATGATTTTGATATGCTAGTGGTTCTTGTTTTTGAACAGGTTTCCTTAGTAAGTTTAATTGCCAACGCCTTGGACTATTCTGAACTTGGTCCTATTAAAACACTTCGCACCCTGAGAGCTTTGAGACCTTTAAGAGCCTTATCCCGCTTTGAAGGAATGAGGGTAAGTAAGACCAACATGATTGATAACAAGCTATTCCATAGATGCAGATTCATTGGGGATTTCTGTAGAGTGTTGGGTGAAGTTATCTGCTGTTTGGCTTTTCCACTATTAAAAACATTCCCTGTAACAAGGATAAAGATTTGGAGAGAAGGTTATCATATCATAGCCATAGTCATTCTTGCAAATAGTTTTAGAGCCAAGTGTATTGTTCTTTTAATGCTATCCGTTGAACCATTGGAGAAGCACCTTATGCAAAATTGCAACAAAATTGCAAATTAATCCTAGAACAGATTGCTTTACTTTCTTTATTGCCAAACAAGCTGTAATTTAAAAAGCAAAATGAAGTGTATGAAAATGAATACCGTACTTTATAGACTTATTCAAATTAAAAATAAGATGTAAATCCTGACCGTCAAGATAGGTTGAAAAAATATAACTTAAAATAACAAGATTAAATTTTATATTATGAAAAATCTTACATATAAGAAAGGTGACCAAGTGCAGCATAGAAGAAGCGCCCAGCAGTAACAATGTCTCATCGTGAAATGAAACATGAAGGGGGTGCCCCAAACCCACTAAGGTGGCTTGACTTCTGTTTCTCATTTCTTTTCACAAAAACCTTGGGCAGACCTACTCTAGATTCCTTCCCAGGGCAGACAAAATCATGATGTGCAGATAATCCTCGACTTACAATCACACTAGGAACCAGAGTTACCATTGCTAAGCAAGACTGTTGTTAAGCAAATAATACCTGATTTTACAGCCTTTTTTGCAATGGTTGTTAAACAAATCACTGCAGTTGTTAAGCGAATCATGTGGTTGTTAAGCGAATCCGACTTCCCCCATTGACTTTGCTTGTCGGAAGGTGACTGAAAAGGTTGCAGATGGCCATCACTTGATCCCAGGACATTGCCACTGTTGTAAATACATGCTAGTGACTGAGTTCCTGAACTCTGATCACATGATTCTGGAGAATCCTGGGATGGTCATGTGAGGACCGGTTGTAAGTCACCTTTTTCAATGCCGTTGTAACTTCAAATGTTGCTAAATTAATAGTTGTAAGTCGAGGACTACCTATACGGCAGCCTTTAGTTCAGAGTCAGGTTGCATACAGCTTTATAACTAACAACTAGCATACAGGTAATTCTCGAATTACACATGTAATGGAGCCTGCCAATTACATTCATAACCTGAGGATTCGTTGGAGTGAATGTGAAATGAATGTGAAAACTCCCGACACATGAGGTGTCTCAGGGTGGGGAAGGTCATGGGAGACCTAGTGATGGAACAGACCACCTGCTTAAGACTACCCAAGGCCTCCCTCGACCCACTGAGATACCTCATACTCTCCACAATTGCTTCCTCCCCCCATCCTGTCATGCCGGGTCTCCACAGTCACTGGGCCTGTGGAGACTCACCTTGCAAAGATCTAGCGAACTGTCTCCTCTCCAGCCTCTCTGCCGGAAGGTTTCTTTGCCTGCTCCTGTCACACCAAAAGTGGAGCGGGGAAAGAGGGATGAGCAAGCCCTCAGCTTCTGTGACTCACCGAGGCTGCCTGCTGCTTCTGGAGTGGTGCGCAGCCTCGGTGAGCCCCAAAGGCTTCCAGTCTCGGTGCAAAAAGCATTTACAAGCTGACGGGAGGCTTTGGGGCAGCGAAATCTCATTGCTTCAAGCCTCCCGTCGGCTTGCAAACGTTTTTCGCGCAGAGACCGGAAGCTTCTGGGGGCCGTGCTCTCAAGGGACTTCAAGCCTTCATCCACTTTTGCAGAGAATGGGAGCCTGAAGCCCCATCAGATCATGGTCCCCCGAGAAGCTTCCAGTCTCTGTGCGAAAAACCTTTGCAAGCCAACGGGAGACTTGAAGCAACATGAGGTCGTCTTTTTGCCCTGAGACTGGAAGCCTTTGGGTAGACTCACTGAGACTGCCTGTCACTCCAGAAGTGGCAGGCAGCCTCGTGAGTCAGGGAAGCCAAGCAGGGCACACTCGTCCCGCTCTCCCTCTGCTCTCACTGCTCCATTTTTGGAGCGCCAGGAGCAGGCAAAGAAACCATGCCAGGGAGGCTGGAGGAGGAGACACCTTGCTAGATCTTTGCAAGGTAAGTCTCTATAGGCCCAGTGCTTCTGGAGACCTGGCCGAGGCAGAGCGAATGTTGCAATGCCTCTGCGGTCATTCACAAGGGTGAACGACTGCTGTGGTGCTACAACATTTGTAATCTCGGCACTGTGTCATGAGGACTTGGGGAGGTTATGTCGTAACTTGGAAAGGTCACTAAGTGAACTGTTGTAACTCAAGGATTACTTGTACTGAGCTGCATGTGAAAGCTTATTGGCAAGCATTGCAACAACTGTGAATACAAAGTATTCTGCAGTAATAGGTTTTCTATCCTACCAATTTGACAGCCACATTCCGAACCCGTTGTAGCTTCCCAGTTGTCTTTGAAGGCAACTCCTCTCTTTACAATAATTCAACTTTCTGAAAAGGGTGTGAGTAACACCACAGAATCTTTCTGGTTGATTGGCTTTTATAACTAGAAATAAGATTGAGAAGGTTCCTTTGATTATGTGGGCATATATGGATTGATATATACTGACATTCTGTTTGTCCGATTGGTACATTTTTGTTCATAAAATAGCTGGATTGAGTTGAAAGGGTGTTATATTGCAAATTAAAGCGAAGCTATTACTGATATGTTGTTTGCGCAAAAATAAAATAATAATAAAAGAAATACCCAAGACTGCATCAGAACACTGACTTTATTATTAGGTCAGTTCAGAAAGCTACACAAATGTGCAAAACATCAGAAAATCTTAAGCATAATATTTTTTACTTACATTTGTTTCGCCATTTTCTTAATATTTGAAGATTTCATCGTTTGCCCAGTCTTAGTCTGGAAAAAAAAATACCAGTTTTCTTCTTAGTCTGCAGTCCTTTATTTGCCTGTTCCCGCCCCATCCCTCTGACTTTGGCCCATGTTCATTTTGCTTTCTGGTTTGTCTTCATAGTACTGTATTACTATATCTGCCCTTCACCACATCTTCATTGTTTTGTTTTGAAGATGATGTTGCTATTTGTAAGCTGAAATCATAAGTACCTAGTTCAAGCCACAGTAATAAAAAAATATGAAACCTGTCTCCCAGTGCAAATCCCACCATGCCTTCTATATACATCAGGATGTCAGGATGAATATTTCATTATTCCACCCACCTACTCCTTTGCCCTACCAATGCATTTGGCCCAGATGAATTCCCCTTTCACAGCAAAATTTGCATACTCTCTTGACAAATCAGTCCAAATATGTCAAACAGAATCATTATAAATTGTCAATCCCTGAAATTCCAGAGGTTCTTTTTAAAAAATAAAAAAAATCTACCCTATAAAATAATTGTGGAAACATAATATTTAAGATTTTTTTCTGTTTTATATTCCTGAAATTTCTTTGGTGCTACTGACAAGAGAAGAGCAATTCTTACTGGCTGCTGCTTTTTGGTGGCCCACATCAGCATGTTTGTTATGTGAATGTTCCTAGTGAATTGTCTGTGATTAGTTTTATATATTTAAATTTCAGGAAATGTCTCTACATTGCTCTAAGTCAGGGGTAGGCAACCTTGGCAGTTTTATGACTCGTGGACTTCAACTCCCAGAATTCCTGAGTAGCCCATGCTGACGGGAAAGGGAGAGGTTTCCAAGCTGAGCCATGCTGGCTCAGGAATTCTGGGAGTTGAAGTCCACGAGTCATAAAACAGCCAAGGTTGCCTACCCCTGCTCTAAGTTTTCTTTTTCTTTTTTTCTTTCTTTTTCTTTTTTTTTTTTTGTAAATTTTGGATAGCAACTCATGCATCTGATGTGCATCTGAGTCCACTTTGTGTTGGGGCAAATGTATTTAATCTTTCAGGTGCCATGGAACTGTTGGATATATAGACCTACAAGCTTTTGCACCATTTTTGTTCCCCTGTCTCCAGGTAGTGGTGAATGCACTGGTAGGAGCCATACCCTCGATTATGAACGTGCTTCTTGTTTGTCTTATTTTCTGGCTAATTTTCAGCATCATGGGTGTAAATCTGTTTGCTGGTACATTCTTTGAATGTGTTAATAAAACAGATGGAGTAAGGATTTCACATTTAATCGCCCCGTTTAAAAATGTCTGTGTGACTTTAGAATATGCCAGATGGAGAAATGTTAGAGTCAACTTTGACAATGTTGGAGCTGGATATCTCTCTCTTCTTCAGATTGTAAGTAACTATCACTTTGATACTAGCAATAACTTTCCATCTATACTAGGTTTCATAGAAAAAATGGAAACAAATGGAGCCATTAGCCCAGGGGTAGGCAACCTTGGCTCTTTTATGACTTGTGGACTTCAACTCCCAGAATTCCTGAGCCAGCATGGCTCAGCTTGAAAAGCTCTCCCTTTTCCCTCAGCATTAGCTGGCTCAAGAATTCTGGGAGTTGAAGTCCACGAGTCATAAAAGAGCCAAGGTTGCCTACCCCTGCATTAACCAAACCTTATCAATTGATATCCCTATTTTCAAGCAAGCAATATTTAGCATATAGGAACAACATATCAACAGAGCATTTTGTTTGGCAGAGTTTTTGCTGTATCTTCACCATTTTTGTCAAAGGGAAGCCATTGAACTGATCCAGATCAGTACATTCAGTGACTTGTGTAAAATAGCCATGACTCACCATTTCAGTTCTTCCATTCTAACATATTTATGCTTTGCTTCCACATCATTCTTCTTTAAGAAGGAAACATGTAAAAATGAGTACTGGTTGTTAAAAATAAGGATAGTAAAGAACTATGTGGAAAGTCCATCCCAGCAATGCTAAATATATTGGCATTTGCATTAGTCACTATTGCTGGCCATCTTATGCAGGTATCAAATGCTAAATTATAAAATTGCAGAAAATTTACTTGGCCCTTAAACTTAGTTCAGGGTCATTTGTACACTAGCACAGTTCTTTATTCTGAAGCTTTTCATTTCATTCCAAATAGGTGTTTTCATTTTGAAGTCTAGGTTGCATCCATTGTTCTGTTAATGGAACAGCATCTGCTATATATCAACACTGATACTTTTTTTTATAGGCTACCTTTAAAGGATGGATGGAAATAATGTATGCTGCTGTTGATTCAACAGGAGTAAGTATACAATGACAAATCTCCATGTGCTCATAATAAGTAGATTTTGTTTTGCTTTCAGATTATATAAAGGAACATTACCAAATTAATGTTACTGCTTTCAATCAGATCCATTCAGTAGCCAGATGCTTTGAAGATCTTTCTTGTACATCAGAGGTTTGGTCTCTAGATGTCACAAGATAATCTGGAGTTTAGAAGACTTAATTCATTAGGACTAAGCAGCAGAAAGTTGACTTTGACTATCCTCTAATTCATCTAAAATGAATTCTCAGTCTTCTTCTCTCCAGTATTTACTATTGAAGAGAATAACATAAAGAAAGCTGATACCAGATTCTTCCATTATTGCAGCAATTTATCCCATACTGGTTCATTTATAGAATTATGTTATCGTAATTCCAGGTGGACCTCTTTCGACATTAGTTTGCTGATTCTAATGTCACCCAACATATTTTCCTCATATTCCTCATAGTTTGGCCTAGCAGTTAAGGCAGCAGCCTAAAAATCCAGAGACCAGATGTTCTAGTCCTGCCTTAGATATGAAAGCTGGCTGGGTAACTTTGGGACAGTCATTCTACCGTAATCCATGGCTAAGACAAACTGGTCAGTCAATTCCTGTCACAACCAATGGATCAAGACTCAGTTGATCCAAAAAAAGTGGAAGCTGCATGTGTGAGAAACTGTTAGGAAGGAAAAAAATGATAAATTCTGTAAATTATTTCATTGTTCCTTTATTGTGATATACAGCAAATATTGAGCAAACAAATTCTTTATCATTCCTGAAAGCTCATTGGATAATATTGTCCCATGCCTCCTTGTTTTATAGGTAGAAAAGCAACCCCAGTATGAGCATAACTTGTATATGTATCTTTACTTTGTCGGATTCATTATATTTGGTTCATTCTTCACTTTGAATCTATTCATTGGCGTCATCATTGATAATTTCAACCAACAAAAAAAGAAGATAAGTATTCATTAGTATCTGCTAATGTTTTTATTGGTTGTGTTTTTATAATGGATGATTTTAATATTTTTCAATATTTTTTATGTTGTAAGCTGCCCATAGCCATTAGATACAAGATGGGCGTCAAATAAGTTTCATAAATAAATAAAATTAAATAATTAGTTTTCACTTCAATATACTAATTGTTATAACGTCCTACAACATTGAGAAGGCTGTCTACAATTGACATAATTGTATGTCTCTGGAAGAATAAATTTTCATAGATATTTGTTGATACTATTTATCTTTTCATAGCTAACATTTTGGAATATTAAATGGCAAAAATTCAATATTCAAGTGATCTTTTCAGTATTTGTAATGAAATTAAAAATGTATTCCATTTTATGTTGTTGCATAGAAAATCGGGGGCAAGCACTTTTCAAGATTTTCAGAAAGCTCCTTTTCTCTCATCTCCCTTGTTGTTTTACATACAGCCCATTAAATTACTAAAAAAAGTTGAATCTCTGACTACTACTTTTAAAATATTTATTTTTTAAAATTCTTTTTTTTACTAAAAGTTTTACAAATTTAATACAATATAACCCAAACCCCTCCCACCCCTTCCCCCCTCCCCCACTTCCCAGAGCTGATTACAGGGTAACAAATGAACAATCATAATCTAATAAACATTACCTGACTATACTATCAATCAATCTATAACATACTTTAACTCCTTTTCGAAATAAATGTTAACTAATTAAAAACAAAAATATAACATAATTAAACCATAACACTAAAAATAATATAAATTCAACCATATTAAACTATTAATAATAATCTAAAATCTACTCATAAACAAGATAATACTTTTCAGTCTCATATTTCTCTTGAATATAATCAATCCATCTTCTCCATACCGAAATATATTTTTCTTGTGAATGGTCCTTCAAATAGGCAGAGATTTTCGCCATTTCTGCTAAGTTAGACACCTTAAGTATCCATTCTTCCATAGTAGGCAAAGAGTTTTTCTTCCAATATTGCCCCACCAATAATCTTGCAGCTGTTATAAGATTCAGCATCAAATTAATTTCTTTAACATCAAAATCAACCATAATACCCAACAAAAATAATTGTGGAGTAAATTTTATCTTTCTCTTAAAAATCTTTTGAATATTCCACCAAATCTTGATCCAAAAAGCTTTTATATCTCTACAAGTCCACCAAATATGGAAATAGGTTGCATCTAAACTTCCACATCTCCAACATTTGGGCTGTAAATTAGGATATATGCGGGACAACTTTTGGGGATCCAAATGCCATCTATAAAATTATTTTTTAAAATTCTTAATTCTATTTTGGGATATAGCCATTTTATCCAACAAAATAAGACACTTTAAGATTTATATAAAATCCTCAGCTGAAAGTAGTTATACAATAGTAGCTTAACAATATAAACCTAAATCATACGGTAACAGATTAAGAAAGGTCAACAACTAAAGTTCCCAATATTAATTTTGCCTGCTACACAGCAGCTAGATTCTAATGCTTTCATTAAGCCAGGGACCCCAACCCCCGGTCCATGGACCAGTACCGGGCCACGGCATGCCAGCAACTGGCCCGCACAAACAAGCAAAGGCCCATCCGCGGGATGCAGGCAGCACACAAAATCACGCTCCCTCCAGTCCTCAGAAAAACCTCTCTCCATGGAACCGGTTCCTGGTGCCCAAAAAGTTGGGGGCCTCTGCATTCAGCCATCCACCACATTTAGCACACCTTATCCAGCTGGCATGGCCAGCAAATAGCAATAGCATTTAGACTTATATACCGTTTCACAGTGCTTTATAGCCCTCTCTAACCAGTCTACACAGTCAGCATATTGCCCCCAACAATCTGGGGCCTCATTTTTCTTCAGCAACATATATTAGATTTTTGGCCCCCAGATAATTACTTTCCATAGGTATATATAGCTGTACCGTGACTTACAACACTTCACTTAGTGATCATTCAGAGTTAACAATGGCAATGAAAAAAGTGACTTACGACCATTTTTCACTTATGACCATTTTTACAACCATTGCAGCATCTCTCATGGTCACATGTTCAAAATTCAGATGCTGGGCAACTGACTCATATTTATGAAAATTGCAGTATCTCAGGGTCATGTGATCACCTTTTGCAAACTTCTGACAAGCTAAATCAATGGGGAAGCCATGTTACCACCGCAGTGATTCATGTAACAGAAATGTTGGGCTTAGTTATGGTTGTAAGTCGAGGACTATCTGTACATTGAATTATTTGTGCCATTTTAATTCCGTTATATCCGATTGGAAACATTTTTTGGAACTCGTTGCTATCCCTTATTATTCTATCTATCCTGAATAATATAGTATTAAAGTACATTTTGCCCCTTTTATGTTCTATGTTATCTCCAGAACATTTTATGAAAACATAATAACCATTAGTTGCAATAGAAATACTTGAAAAATTCCACTGTTCCACATTCCTTCATTCAGAGAATTTGTCATAGCCCTGTTTTAGTTGGTTAGTAGAATTTCAAGGGAAGAACTTGCCTTCTTATCCTGTGATCACTTAGTTTATTGAGGAAATAGTTAACTGATTTCTTTCAAAGCCTTTTTAAAGTACCATGTACAGTTTTGTCCTTGTGAGGTAAATGGTTATAACCATTTTGTTTTACTTTTTTACTTAGGAGGTCAAGATATTTTTATGACAGAAGAACAAAAAAAATATTATAATGCCATGAAAAAATTGGGATCCAAAAAGCCACAGAAACCTATACCCAGGCCATCAGTAAGAATGCCTCGTTATTTATTTAACTGGGTAAAACAAATAGATAGGAATAAAACACTTTGTTTAATTGAAATAAAAATGTATCCTTTTTATCAATAACTGAAAAAGTAACTTAGTAAATGAATTTCCAATCCTTCAGGAAATAATAACAAATTGGGTTTTTTTCTCTTTTAGAATAAAATACAAGGCTTTGTTTTTGATATTGTAACCAAACAAGCCTTTGACATCGGCATCATGGTTCTTATCTGTCTTAACATGGTCACTATGATGGTGGAAACAGCTGACCAGGACCCTTCCATAGAAGAAATTTTATATTGGATTAATTTGATTTTCATTGTCATTTTTACTGGGGAGTGTCTCCTGAAATTGATTGCTCTCCGTTACTATTATTTCACTATTGGCTGGAATATATTTGATTTTGTGGTTGTCATATTCTCCATTGTAGGTAAGAAACTTTTGAAGTAAAACCAGATTAAATTGTCTTTTGAATATTTTGGACATTTGATATAAATTACTAAGCACTGATGATGACATACCCGGTATTCTTGGCTTCACATTTTACAAAGCCTGTTTGTATTATTAATTTGTATATGATAAATTGTTAAAGCATTATATTACCTCAGAGATCATAGAAAGTACTTTCATGTGATTTCATGTACAGATGAAAAACACTATTCTTAGTGCAAGGCATAATTAATTGGTGAATTTATTTCTATAGATGATGGATGCTCTCTGAGATAGCTTTTATGCTTTGTTTTCTTTGAGTAAACAAATATATTTATTCATTTATATTATGAAAATACACAGTTTAACATTCATATTTCTAAGAAATTATCACAAATAGACTGTAATAAAATGCTAGAATTTTTTCTTTTTTAAGTATAGAAAAAGAGGTTAAAATGTTTAAATAGTTAATATGCCAGAAAAGAGCCTGTATTAAATAAGTAGATAACTATAATTTACTTAATTATAATCCTAAAATTATAATTAGAACCTTCCTGTTTTAAACATGGAAGCCCCTTTCCTCAGGATCCTACTTAAAGACCAAATGCAATTCTAAGCTCTCAGAATTCATGGATCTCTGTGCAACACTCTGAATAAAAACGAGTTGCATAGGTCGTGTGCTATGCATAAAAAATGTTTTATTTTCTGATAGTTCTTTCATTTTTGCTAAAAAAAATGATTCATTTTTGTGCACAGGATACGTTGACTTAGTGTCCTATTCCTGTTTTCTGTCATATGACTTAGAAAAGAGGGATAGAGCCAATTTCAGATAAAATAAGTCATAAGGATGTTATTTCATCCTAATTTAAAGTTATGGTAATATACCCTCCTGATTTAAAGTTATAATAATACATAATAAATGTATGAAAATATAACTATACAATTTTAACTCATGGTGATTTTTTTTTTTTTTTGTAGGTATGTCCCTGTCACAGATCATTGAGAAATACTTTGTGTCCCCCACTTTGTTTCGAGTGGTCCGACTTGCCAGGATAGGTCGAGTTCTGCGTCTAATCAAGGGGGCAAAGGGAATCCGCACCCTGCTTTTTGCCTTGATGATGTCTCTCCCTGCCTTGTTCAACATTGGTCTCCTCCTTTTCCTGGTCATGTTCATCTACGCTATATTTGGAATGTCCCAATTTGCCTATGTTAAAAGAGAAGCTGGGATTGACGACATGTTCAATTTTGAAACTTTTGCTAACAGCATGATCTGCCTGTTTCAAATTACCACTTCTGGTGGTTGGAATGCACTGCTGTTGCCTATTCTCAACAAGGAGCCAGACTGTGACCCTAAAAGGGTTCATCCAGGAAGCTCAGTTGAAGGAGACTGTGGCAATCCTTCCGTTGGGATTTTCTTCTTCGTCAGCTACATTATCATCTCATTTTTAGTTGTAGTAAATATGTACATTGCTGTCATTTTGGAGAACTTCAGCGTGGCTACTGAAGAAAGTGCTGAACCGCTAGGGGAAGATGACTTTGAGATGTTCTATGAGGTCTGGGAAAAGTTTGATCCAGATGCAACACAGTTTATAGAGCTCAGCAAACTTTTTGATTTTGCTGCCTCACTAGAGCCCCCTCTGCTAATACCAAAACCAAACAAAGTTCAGCTAATTGCAATGGACCTGCCCATAGTGAGTGGTGACAGAATCCACTGCCTTGATATCTTATTTGCCTTTACAAAGCGTGTTTTGGGTGAAAGCGATGAAATGGATGCCCTTCGTGTGCAAATGGAAGATCGGTTCATGGCTGCTAATCCCTCAAAAGTCTCCTATCAACCAATTACAACTACCCTGAAACGGAAACTTGAGGAGGAATCAGCTAAGGTTATTCAGAGAGCCTTTAGGCATTATCACCTAAGGAAACCAGTGTTCAAAAAATCGTACTTATATAAGGATGGGGATGTTTTTCCCTCCAAAACTGAAATGGCTTTTGATAAATTAAGTTTGAGCTTAGCTCTGGAAAAGACAGAAAGAACCTCCTCCACAACTTCCCCTCCTTCCTATGATAGTGTAACAAAACCAGACAAATATGAACAAGAAAAGTCAGAAAAAGAAGAAAAAGGTAAAGATGACAAGGATTACAGAAAATAATCCCGAAGCAGACCTATAATTCTGTCTACACCAACTTGTTTACAGCATCAGAAAAGTAGTACTGATACTAACAGGAATCATGCTGAAAGCTTATGCCAAACTACCATTTCTACTATATCAACATAATATATTCATGCATCCAAGGTACTTATAATTTTATTGTTGACTGCATAGTATGGTAACAGACTTATGAGGACAAAATCAATTCTTCTTACCAGCTCGCACAGATGAAGAGGATTCACAAAATTACTATAGGCTGTAAGAATGAATTAGCATTTGTGTGCGCGCGCGTGTGTGTGTGTGTTAACAACAACCAAAAATTATTCCTTTGCTGCAATAATTGTATCCGATGTGTGCACCTCAATTGCCATTTATTTCATGTTTGACAAAATTGTTAGTACAATTGTACTTCTGTTCACAAATCATTGTCTGTGATGATGTCCAGCAACAGAATTGATTTTTCAGATACGTTTATATATATATACACACACATACATATATATTTAACTTTATTACTGATAATAAAGATAGGATCATTGGAGAACTTAACCACTGTAGGCTTAAAACTTTTGTCAGATATTTGTAGGCTTGTCCAAAGTTATCTGCAAGATCCTTCAGACCTGCAAATTTCACCCTGAAAAAAAAAATTATTGTCCAGCTTTGTTTACTAAAAACTGAGCCTAGGATAGAAACGAGGGTACCGGAGTTCCTCCCCCATCATTGTGCAAGGACAGCCAGCAGCTTGACCTACCAATCTTCTTTATTGGCTGTTGCTGATTCCCGACTTTATTTGCAGTTTATCACTGTTCAGGCCATTGGCTGTTTGAATGTAGCTAACATCTGCTCACCTTTAAAGAAACTGGTAGCTTCTTTAAGAATATAGGCCAGTGATGGCGAATCTTTTAGAGACCGAGTGCCGAAACTGCAACCCAAAACCCACTTATGCATCGTCGGGTGCCGGGTGGGTGTGGCCCATTGGGTGGGCATGGCTGCAGTGGTGACGGCAGACTGGGTGGGACTAAAAAGTTCAATCAATCAATTTCAACTTTGCAAGATCTTTTTTTTTCCGCAAAAAGTTGAAATTGACTGATTGATTGAACCTTTTTTTTTGTACATGGTGGTGGAGGCCTAAAGCAAAAAGGTTTATAAAAAAAAACCCAGCTGAAGGCCTAGGACTGGGGCGACGGTGCGCATGCCCACAGAGAGGGCTCTGAGTGCAACCTCTGGCACCCGTGCCATAGGTTCGCCACCACTGATATAGACTACTGTCTGGCACAACTTGAATACTAAATGGAGCTCTGTGGGATTTTCTCTTCCAAAACAATCTGAATTAGCTGCTACATGGATTATCAATTCTGACTTTTTTAAATAGTTCTTCATGTTTTGGCAATTCTTCTAGCTTCTCAACTTCTACTGGTTTCCGTTTTCTGTTTGTCTGTATACATACAAATATTCATATTGTAGAAGAGGAATGTGTTCGGAGGTGATAGTTCCTTAGGGGGAAAAGTCTTGACCCCTGTGAGATATGGTACATAAGAATGCAAAAGCCAAATGGATTTTGCATTCTCATATGTATTCTCCTGTAACTACTTCTACATGGAAAAAAAAACTATTAAAATAATCAAAAATAAAATGCACATATTCTAAAATTCAGTACTATGGCACAGAATGTATGCATTGCATTTGATGGTAAGACTAGCTCTTACCATTTGTTCATGGATTCACTGCTTGATTTGATTCATTCATTCATTCTAAAATTATATGGCAAACTACAATAGGGTCCAGCAATTTAAATACTTATAATGGCATTTTATGAGCTATCCCAAGTCTCTAGAGCAGTGGTTCTCAACCTGTGGGTCGGGACAACCATTTCACGGGGGTCGCCAAACAAGGCTGTCCGCCATTTTTTCCCCCTTTTATTTGGCCATGCCCCTGGCACCCAGTGATGTATAAGTGGTTGGGGGTCATCACAACATGGGGAACTGTATTATGGGGTCGCGGCATTAGAAAGGTTGAGAACTACTGCTCTAGAGCATTAGGTATCCCTTGAATTTATTTCGCCAGTTAGTTTACTGGTATTTTCAAACATGTACAGATAACAGATTTGCATGAAGGCATGCTCTACTTCCTAGCCCATGCATGATGGAAAAGTAAGCAACTACCAGTAACAAGGAGCCATGACTTGTCCAAATTTCAGGGTTGCATAAGTTCGTAATTTTTACCTATTCATGCTATATAATACAAGAAAGCTTTTATACAATTTATATTGTATAGGTAAGCTGAATCAAATAACATGGTGATTTTTCTTCTTTTATTGTGAATGTTCATATTTGAATTAGTATATTTCACAATTTCTTTATGTGGATCATAATTGCTTTTATGTTTTTGTTTTTTTATTGTTTTTTATTTATGTTTAAGCCATCTAGAGCCTTCTAGAGTAGGCAGCTATAGCAATCTTAATAAATTAAGTGAAATAAACCAAAATAATTATACATTTGGCTTATTTAAATATGTCATTTCTTTTTTCTTGCAAACTAGCTCTAGAATTATTGGATATAAGCCTAGCTCTCAAAAGATTAGTGAATAATTATCATCACTATTTGAAAGAGAATTGTTCAACACATCTACAGCTGCAAAGGTTCTAGGTTAATTTCTTAAATATTTTTATAGATTGAAAATGCCCACTCAATAAACAGAGCGCTTGTGTCTAGAAAAAGTGCAAATGTCAGGAACTACCTTAGGAAAGGTATTCCACTTAACTTTCTCACATAGGAGAAAGGAAGACTTTCTTCCCATGACACATGTGGAAGCTTTTAAAAAATAATTGAGATTTTTGGAAAATACTGTTTATCCTCTGCAGATCTGGTAAATTATACAGTTGTTGAATGCTCGTTACTGTAGTTGGGTGAAGATTTTTTTTTAAAAGATCACTTAATAGTTTTTTGTATACTCCTTGTCACTTTCAGATAAGAGCTTTGTCACCTTACTTACCTTATAGGGGAAACATAGAGAAAATCCTAAATTAATTGAACATGCCATGCTTGGAATTGGGGCTGCTATATACCGTATATTCCGGAGTATAGGGCGATCCGGCGTATAAGACAATCCCCGAGTTCGACGCCAGGTCGCAAGACGATTGACGCCGAGTCGCAAGACGATCGACGCTGAGTCGCATGCCTAGAAAGTCATCTTATACGCCGGAAACTACCGGTATTTCCGGCATATAAGACTGACGCCAAGTCGCATGCCTAGAAAGTCATTTTATACGCTGGAAACTACCTTATTTCCGGCGTATAAGACGACTCGGCGTATAAGACGACCCCCGAGTTCGGAGGCTGTTTCAGCATTCTCAAAAGTCGTCTTATACGCTGGAATATACGGTATAATTTAGTAAAGTTCTATAAATTATTCTGATTAGAGTGATTTGGATTTTATTTACAGGATCTAGATCTTTTGGCGCAAAATACCTTTGTTGATAGGGGAAAACATGTGCCTGAGGCTAAAAGAAACTAGTTGAAGAGATATTCTATTTATATTTGATGCTGCATATAACTACTGTATAATTTTTACTAATTATTATATGATGTAATATTACTGTACTAACAAAATGTACTATGAGCATTATAATTGGGTTAAAATATAAATGCATAAAACTTTTTATAAAAGCATATTTTATATTATTTTTAATCACTTTGATTTGTCAGCTTGCAGTTGATATGCTTTATTTATTTGAACCGTTATTTTATAATACATTTTAACACGCCAATGGGGGTGGGGGGAGACGATCAGATTGTTATTGCTATATTTTGTGCCTGTACGTAGCAGTTTCAGTTAGAAAAAGTGAACAAATCTGAATGTGAAGTAATTGCAGATGAGTGATTTGCCTGTGAAAGGAGAGCTTTGGGTCTGTGATTTAATGAATGCTTGATTCTCATAGTACTTGCACAAACATTTGGGTCTTAAATTTCACTACGGCTACATCTGCTGCAGCATTCTTCTTGATCTGTACTGCATTTAGATACATCATAACTATAACTTGGTCCTCAGAGGCTGACTGAGTGTCCTTTTTCTGTAAGAACAAAATAGCAAAATGAAAACTAATGTATCTGGGCATCTTTGTTTTGTCTATTTCTTACAGAGGAATGAAGTAAACCTATTCTTTTACTTTGGCTATTGACTAATAATATATATTGATGAATTGCATGTAAAAGAATATTTTAGCATAAAGAACTATAAACCATCTTACTAACAAGCCAAAAGAATAAAGCTGATAATTTTTATCACGGATTAATTTTGTGCTTCTTTTACTTTAAAATTTCATTAAAGTAAAATAATGTTTCAGGATGGGGGACAGGATATTAAATGGTGAAACACACTAAAATAAGATCCAATTATTTACCCAGTTGGGCCCAGCTACATCAAGAGATAACAAAGATTCACATTTCTTAAGCATCAGCAGGGTATAATTCACAGATGAGAATGTGAAGCTCGGGTTTGAACTGTGGATCAATAGCACCAGTTTGTAGAGAAAAAGTACAAGAATAATGCAGACACTATTGCTCTTATATAAATCCAGTTGTGGTTTACTATGCCATTGTGACAATTTTCACCCTGCTAATACAAATGTTTTCACTTGTAATGTCTGTATTGCATGGAAGAAATGATTACAGCTTCTCAAACTATCACATAGAAACCATCTTGATCCAGAGATTAAGCGAAATTTTAAAGCCAAGGTAACACCAAAGCAAGATAATGTAACAATATCCAGAACTGGTATTCTTTCTTGAGGGGAGGATCAACCAGTCTCCTCCATGCTTCATTTTTGGTAAGCAATAAGGACATCCTTGTTTTCTTAACAGGTTGAAGCTTGTTGGCCTTTTTTTCCTTTGGAAGGCTTGATTTTGCACATTCCTAATCTTTTGATGTTTATTTTTATTTATATGCTGAATTTGTGAACTTACACCTCCAAGGTGATCTTTATACATTCTCTTAATATTCCCAGAAAAAATAATCTCTCATCTTTTTCCATTAATACAGAAGTATGTTTTCCTGAATTCAGCTATTCTCCTACAATATTTGTCCTGATATTATCAAATATTTTTACTCTGGTATGAGGCTTTTATCTAGTTTTTAGAGAGTTATGATCTCATGTATTATCTCTGGAACCTTTATGTGCAGTTAATATTCTTAATCATTGATATCAAACCCTTCACATTAATTTGCCAGCAAAGAATCCATTTAATTTATTTACCTGCTTTTCCCTGGACTTGCTAGATAAATCATAATGCTGAATTTTCTACTGCCCTATTCCCAAGTATGGCCCCATCCTCACTAGCCAAACACGTCCGTTCCAGTTGTTCTGTGGCAGTCTGGTAATTCATTATCTGTGCTCTTACCCAAGAAAATAAACCGCAATCCATGAAACAGAAGCAAAATAAAACCATGTACAGTATTTTGGGATAAAATTATGAAGCTTGGCATATTTGGACACTAAACAATTATATCGCTCCCAGTAATTAACATGTATTTCAGAAGACAGGAATGACAAATAGGTCCTCCAATTTTTTAATCCAATCAAGGAGAATATTCTTATGAATGTCACAAATAATGGTGAATGTGATGTTTGGCAGTAATATTGAATATTCTTGCTTTGACATCTTTATTCAAAAATGTAAAATAAAATGTAGCTTTACAGCAATCACACAAGTTTGTGACTCATGGAAGGTAATTGGTTTGATAGCTATGCTGCCAGCGCATCAAGCTGAAGATCTCTTAAAGGATTTTTGTTTAAGGACAAAATTCAACAATCCTTTGTCCAAACTATCTCCTTCCTTATGTTACTTACCTTTTTCTTACATTCTCTTACATCACTGAGAATATCATTTTGTTATTTAGATGTATTCTTCCTTTTCATCTTGAATATGGCATTGTTTTACCTAGATCAACATATATTCCTGCCCTTCCAAGGCATATCTAAAGATTATGGTCTTTTTGTCAGCAATC